GAGTCAATTAATCCGCGCCCGCGTACGAGTCATGTTTTTATATCTTTTCCGAAATATACAGAAGCAAAATTAGCGGCACCCGCGTGCGCGAAAGCCATTTACAAATACTAACGAGGACAGATCTCGTTCGGCGTATAAAAAAGCATGGGGATCAGGAGAGATGTGATAGGAAGGAGGGAAGAAGAAAAGGGGAGGTGCGGTGATGAATTTGTAGAACTCGTTCTCATGTACCTAACAACGATCGATGGAACGACCGATCGTCAGGAACGCGTCGGGAACTCTTCTCCAGGAACATACAACCACGTCGCGCGCTTTCTCCTTCTCGTAACGGAGATCTCTCGGTCGCTACCAGATATTAGACTCAGGGGTGCGCAAAATTTCATCGCGTTTCGCGTCGGATCGTCTGATCCCTCCACACTACCTCAGCAAAATTTCTGATATTACCTCTCGGTATACTTTCCTCCCTATAATTTTGTTTGAAAATAAAGTTATTCCTTGGCGGCGGAGGGATTAATATTTAATATGTTCGCGCTTCGCGTGTTTTGCGTATCGGAGGAAAATTAAGTCGCGGGCAAAAGAGTGAAGGGTTCTTCGTGTTTTGTACACCCCTGGTTCACACGGGCGAACCGTAACGTTAATGCGATCGAAAATCGAATTTTTTTTATTTACAAGGCTGTACCGCATCTCCGCTAATTTTTTTTTCAAGAATCGCTTCCTAATTTTTCTCGATAGCTGATTCGCTCGATGATTTAAATGATCTCTCTATTTTGATCGTATCGATTGATTCCACTGAACACGATAATCATGGCAACCGAATATTCTATATTACGATATAAAGTTTCCTCTTTTTCTTTGAGATTCTCACTGATTCACTTTATTTTAGTGGTAAAATTCACTCGCTAAAGAGCATCCAGAATGTTTTTTGGTAGGCCACAATCATTGATACTATGACATTGATTGATGACAAAAGTCTCGACTCGCGTTTTAGATAACGAAGCATTCGATCGATCTGAGAGTGTGAATTAGTAAGAATTACATCGTGGTTCTTAATCATGCCGAAGAGAGTTACAGCGATCATTTATCGTTACATTCAAGAAGGTATATACAGTACGACTATTCGTGGGTCGATCATGCTGCTGACAATGCGTATCTGAGGCGTATCGAATGCTTAAGGTAGTATTCGGCACGAAAACCGTTTTTGCTCGACAGAAAAATAGAGTAAATAGAGACCGTCAAAAAAATTCCCTTGTATACTTTACCACTTTCATATCGCTGGTTAAAATTTGTGTTGTAATAAAAAAAATAATACAAATTCGAAAATAAATATAAGTAACATAAATAAGGATAACCGTATAACGTAATTATGTTTAAACTAGCAACTTGTCCAATATTGTCATGCGCATGTAGGTTAATAAAATTTGACGTAATAGATACCTCTATATTTGATAATAAACATCACGACATTATACAATTTTATTTATAGCAAAAAGAGAAGAGTTTATTATTGGTAGCTATTTGAATTTCATTTTTACATTGTGACCTGATTTTAGCAAATCCAAATATAAAATTTATTACGTAAAATATGCACCATATATGATTTTCTAGACGTTTATATGGAACAATGTCGAAGAAATCCGAATAAATAATCCGCTATTAGAATATTTTCATCGTGATCTTTCCAATCATCGGTATGCTTTGTCTTTCTCGCTGTCTTGAATATTGTTCAGCGATGATATGTAAAATATGGCAATTTTGGCCTAGTCGGGATAATTTTAATCCAAATTTAAAAAATGCTTAGATATCATACCCAAAATCAAAATATAAGATGTCTTAAAACAACTTTAACTCAGGTGTAGTTCTAAAAAGTAAATTTTAATTAATATAAGGTTTTTTTTATTGTAGTTTTCATAAAATTGCATAATTTAAAAGTTCGTAAAGAATAATTATTAAAAAAATATATGTTAAACAATATTAATACAAAACAATTATGTTTTACAACACTTCATATTTTTTTGCCACTGTGATATAAAAATATTCCAGGTGATTATTTGCGAGTTGATATTTTTAAGACGTTTTATGTCCGAGTTTTAACATGTGTGTTATGTGTAGAGCATTATTAAAATTTGTGCCAAAGCTACCCTGAGTTCAGATCAAAGTTACCCCATTTTATGATACATCCCTTAAAAATATAACACATCATAATGCACTGTTACCACGTAACAACGTTACGTCGGTCTACATCGCACACTGCAGTCACGTTTGTATACGCACCTCGGATTCCCTTGTTACGACACGACCGACCCACTTGCGATCGGAGATCTATGGAGACGTATACACGGATAGATCAGTATGATACGATTCTTTAATCACTTAAAGCTTAATCTTAGCGAGCGCGAATCCGCGAGCATTGTTCCTCGCGCGTCGTCCGCACCGTGCTTCCCCATCGTCGGGAAGCCAGAACACAATAGTCTCGTTTCCGTGTGTTTTCTTCCTGCATTCACATCAATCTACCCTCTTAGCAGTATCACTCAATGATCTCGACGTGTCAACTTCACGCAAAATCTTCCAGTTACAGACACAGTTAAATTGCGCGTCGAATGCGCACTCGGATGCACGAATAATTCGGGGAATCGAATCACTAGACAGATCAGAGATCTAATGGCGAGTTGAAATATTCAGAGGTTTCGAACGCATGCGGATTTCGGACACCTGACTGAAATCATGACTCAAAATCCAATTCTTATCAAGGCATTGAAATCAGGTGAAATCCGAGGACTTAGCACGCACATCGAATTAATCGTATCCGTAGTAACTGTGTCGCCGCGAGTTTCCGCTTCCCCGCAATAAACTTTCCGTCACTTTCCGCGACCGATATATTTCCCGGGTCGACGCTGTTCGGATGCCGCAACTGAACGTCAGGCGGAACTTTATTCGAAGAACATTCCGGGCGCGTCAGCTGGTTGCGTTAACTGCGACCGCACAAGCCGACCGTCGCGCGTCGACGTGATATAATCCCGATCATCTCGGACGGGAATGCAATTAATTTGATATACATTTGATACATACGGAATGTTACAGATTAAAAGATCAAATCATGACGATATCCTTAATGAGTAAAATGAAAAACAAATATTATACATGTAGATGAATGAATCTGCATGAAAGTAAAATCGAATATATAAAACGGAGCAGTTTTGGTCTAACTGCGAGAGAAAATAATCACATGAACCCAAACAGAACAACATGTCACAATAATGTCGAAATGATGTCAAAATTAATCGTGATTGATTGAAAAGTGACTAGTGTTACGATGACTTTTTGTTCTGCTTGGGAAATTAATATTTCCAATTAAACGCGTGGATATAACGAGCCGCCTTAGCATAATGGTGAGAAAACATATCAGCTAAACTCCGTATCGACTACGCCGATATTTCCCTCTTGCGAACGACGGTACGTCGAGCTTAGTTATATAACTTATCGAGTCTATCATACACGCACACGGATACGCGACGGTCTCGTGGCCGTAGTTGAGGATCGACGACCCTCGGGCTCGTAAATTCGGTGTCCTGAGATGCAAATGGAACGCCCGGGCGAAACTGCGGGCGTCCTCTATTGCCAAAGCTACGAATTCCGCATGGCCCGGGCCCGCATAATTCAGAGATACTTCAGTGGCTTTTTCGTCTCTCGCGAAAGGCGAAAATCGATTATTGTCGTAGCCGATTCCGTTAGCTAGTCCCGTAGTAAGCGGCGGGCACGTTTTTGAGGGAAATATTTATTCGATGAAATTTTCACGCAAGAATCAACTCGAAGAAGTGGTAAAACCCCCGCGGCGAGAAAAATTGCCAGTCTTACAAGTAGCCCGAGAGAGATGTGCAATTTTTATAATAACAGATTCATATTATAACGTTTCTCTCACCTGCACGATGTATTTTCCTCTCTGTTCCTTCAGTAACAATAACAACAACAACAATAACAATAATAAGCAGTAACAATAACTTTAGTGACGCAGAGATAAAAATTAACTATATATATTACATTTTTCAAAGATATAAAATAATTATTCCGTACATTGAAATAAACAAAATTAAAAATATGCATTTTAAACTCAGTGTCTCAATATTCTAATAGTAAAATGCTCTAATATAAAATATGAGATTGCAACATATACGATATGCGCATTCGCGATTGAAAAGAAATTGCATTCGAAAGCTGGTGACGCAAAGTTTTCAAGGAGATCGGAGTGCACATCCGGCGGCTTACGAGACATTCGTATGACGCGGCGTATATAGGTAGACACATATCTCGGAAGTTTGCGCGACCGAGGATAAGTACGGCGAACCTCAAAATATTTGTTCTCTTCGACGGAAGAAGCCATACCGCATCCGATGACCAGAAATTGAGTGGAATTCCACACAGTGGTTTTGCCGGCGTATGTGGGTCGCTTGGTTAGTCCGCCCGGACACGAAAACACGCTGGTTTTATCTACGACAGTCAGCTGCGTTCGCCAATAGATCTCCACGATCTACGCTATCTACCGCGCCCGGGGAAAAGAAATGCTAATTCCGCCGTCGCGAATATCGACGTAAGAGAAATCATTCGTCCTCGTCGAAACGTGTTAGAACGAAATCATTCGTCCTTTGGAACGTCACTTATTCTCAAGAAGAGAATTCACCCTGTCGTGTCTAGTTTACACATTTCCGTATTCGCACGTCGTCTCGGATCTACACATCGCTATTTTCGATTGTTGCATTGTACGGTGAGACATAGAACACGTGGGGCACGAAAGTTGCTTTAAGGAAACGTGAGCCGGGCCGGCCCCGAGTTCGTGCTCCGGAAGCGAGAGCAAAGCCAGTGAAGCTCTCTTACACGCGGTTGCAGCTGCTAACGGTTGCCGCACATTGTCTTCTCTGCTTTCTCTCCGCGCACTTTCCTACCTTAGCGAGCCAATCGTAATGCGGAAAGAAGATCGAGCTGATTTATAGAG